TCTGCTCATCTACTGTAATTGCCCCTGTCTCAGTAAAGAGAAGAAGATATTGGAGTTATACCCCACCCTTCACTCAGAGTGGCTTACGAACTCCTTTCCCTTACAAACTCCCCACAACAGACACCCTGTGAGGTAGGTGGGGCTGAGAGAGCTCTTTCAAGAACAGCTCTGACAAAACTGTGGCTTACCCAAGGTCATCCAGCAGCTGCAAGTGGAGGAGTGGGGGATCAAACCTGGTTCTCGCAGATTAGAGTCCGCACACTTAACCATTACACCAAACTGGCTCTAACCAGCAAAGTTCCTGGTGGGCCGCTGGTGGCCAGGAGCAAGCTGAGCCACATGCCCCTTGTGATGGTGGCGGCGGCAGCAGCTGTGATATTGGCTGGGCAATTTGGCTTACTTTGTTCCAGGGCTGTTTTAACGTCCCGTTCTGACTCAGGGGAGCCCTTCTCAAGCTTCTAGTACTGGCCGTTTTGCCACGGTCTCAAGCATCTGCCAAACTTCAACAGTGGGTTCCTCTCTTCTGCTTATCTGAATGTTTCTCTTGCAGGCTCAGAGCAGAGTTAAATCCCACACACAGATTTTCAGAGAGAGACTATGACCCAGATAGGAGACTCAAAGCTCCAGAAGGGGGAGAGCTGACAAAAGACGATCTCGTAGCAGAAGCATAAGTCAAAACTGCACCATTTAAAAGCCTCCCGTGCTCAGAAATTCAGGTGGCAGAGACAAACTTTGTCTAGCACAGATTGTTTGGGAAAGGAAGACATCCTGGGCTGGCAAGAACCGTAGGGTCCCTGGGTCCGGCCACCATGGGAAAGAGAACGCAGAGAGTTGTGTTAACTCAGAAGATACCTCAGTACTGGCAGCGTTGTCCAGATCACACCTTTGCTTTCTTGAATTTTCTATATGTTGTACAATTAGAAAATTTCCACCATGACGCTGTGGTCTAGAAAGTGTTCTTTTAAAAATAGATGGCTGGGGATTTGAATTTTGAGCTTGAATTCAGCACCTAGCACATGCGTGAATGGATTATGTGCAACTCTGGTGTATTTGCGATAGTAACATGTCCGCCCCCAGGATGGGAAGCAAAGATTTAATCCCACCAGCTTCTTTTGCAGCTCTCCTAAGAGACTGATCAGCAGATCTCTTTCGCTCCATCCGGCACCGCGAGACCTGTTCTTAATTTTCTGCTAAACATCTGAGTCGTCTTTCTCCTCCATTCTACTGGTCCCTCTTTTCTCCCTCATCTCTCCCTCATGTCTTTTTTCCCTTTTCTTTCAAACATAGTAAATAAAAAGAAAAAGGTATTGGCTGTTTGAGGATTCAGAATTGTTACTTCCTTGTCTTGAACCAAAAGAAACGAAAACAATAAAAGAGGATTGGCCACAATGGACTTATCAAACACATCTCTCTCCCAGGGAGGCTGGCACAAGAACACTGGTGAGGCCCAAACAGCATTCTCGGCTGCGCACCAGCATTCTAGGCTGCTGCTCTAGACTCAGAGGAATAGCGCAGATGGAACCAACACACACGAAAGCCACATGCTTCTTTCACTCTGGCAAGCACACCTCTCTCTGGGAAACACTCTGGAAGTCTCTGGCTCACTCTCATTTCTCTAGGGGAGGGCAAGCTGCAAGGAAGCAGCAGCATACAACTGCCCCGGCCCCTTGGCACCCTTCTGTGGGTTGGATTTTGAATCTAAGGGACAGCAGCCCTTATTTCCTTAACAGGCTCCCCTCCCAACACATGGAGCCAGATGATGCCCCACCCTACACTCCAGATCAGGCATGGGGAGGGGTCTCATGGCCAATGCTCCCTCTAGGCTGTGGGGTCCTGTGAGCAAAAATTCTACTTTGTGAGCTACTGGCATTAAAATTGTGAGCGAGCAATTTGGTTACTGCATGAATTAGTTTGCTCCGAAGCCATCCTTCCTGAGCTAAGACATAAATGTGTGAGCTGGAGGTTAAAAAACTGTGAGCTAGCTCACACTAACTCAGCTGAGAGAGATCACTGCTCATGTGTTCCCTCTAAGCTGTGGAGTCTTGTGAGGAAAAATTCTACTTTGTGAGCTACTGGCATTAAAATTGTGAGCGAGCAATTTGGTTACTGCATAAATTAGTGTGCTCTGGAGCCATCCTTCCTGAGCTAAGACATAAATGTGTGAGCCGGAGGTTAAAAAACTGTGAGCTAAACTCACACTAACTCAGCTTAGAGGGAACATTAAACCAGGGCAGGGGTCCAAGCTAAACATGATTGCTCCCTCACGAACAGATGAAGCTGAATTATACTGAGTCAGTCCATCAGGTTGAGTACTGTCTACTCTGACTGGCAGCAGCTCAGGCAGAGTTCTTCCACATCCCTTAGTCCTTTGAAATGGAGATGTCGGGGACTGAACCGGGGACCTTCTGCATCCAAAGCTGATGCTCTGACACTGAGCCATGGCCTCTTCCGTCTTCTCATGTCTGCTATGGGGACGCTGCCGCCATTTTAGAGAGATTTAAAAATGCCAGAAGGGCCTGATCCTGAGTGAGCTGTGGTGTTCTTGTGCTCCCTTACACCTTTTCAAGTGCTGGCACAGCCATAAGTTAGTGGTGAGGAACCATTTCAGCACTTGAAAAGGCTCACAGGGAAACAAGGGTGCCTCAGCCCACCGCACTGCAGGCTCGATCCCGTTTGGGACCTCGCAGCATTTTTAAAATGCTTTAAAATGGCAGTGTCCCTTTGGTGCACATTGGTGTCCCTTTAGTGCCGTCCAGGGGTAATTTCCTATGGGAGCGCACAGGAGCGGAGCTCTGGCAGTAAGGAGCCCAAGGGGCAGGCACATGCAACAAGCCCCACCCCCTGCTCCCAGCAGCCCTCAGTCGGGCCAGGAGGAGAAAGAAGCAGCCAGGTAAGTTGCAGAGCTCCCTCCCTGGCCCGCCTTCAGGTACAAGCTCTCCCTCCTCTGTGAGGGCAGATCTACGTGCCCCCCCCATAGCTAGCAATCCAAAACAGTCCAGTGGCACCTTTAAGACCAAGGTTTATTCAGGTACAAACTCTCCCTTCTCTGTGAGGGCAGATCTGCACGTTCCCCCACCCTCCAATAGCCAGCGATCCAGAACAGTGGGTGCTGCCTGAGCAGTGGCTGTTGCCTTCTGACACACTTCCGGTGATGTCAGGGGGTGTGGCATATGCAAATAAGTTATGCTAATAAGGTATGCTAATGAGCTCCTGCACCTCTTTTTCTACGAAATGACCCCTGGTGCCATCACAACTGGTTTGGTCCAGAGAAGGCCAGTGTAGGGAGGGGAGATGAGAGACTCACTAGTGCTATTCTTACAGTCACTCTGCCACTTGTGCTCGCTGCTACAGAAGCACCATGGGCTTCATAATCATTGTTTGTAGAAAAGGGTTGGCTAAAGTGACCTTATCAAATTCAGATCTCTCCTAGGGAGGTTGGCCTATCCTCTCTGAGTTGCAGGAAGTGACAGAAGGTTGAAAACTGTAGACTGCAGCACACAAAGGAAAACAATTATCCTCATGGTAAGAGGCGGATGGAAAGGTGCTATTTTTAAGGTGGACAAAAGTTATGCTTCACTGCTGAAATTTGGTGGGGGGTGTAAGGGCTGAATGTTGAGTTATACTTCATGTCTATCATGGATCAGCAGATTTTTTCACTATGCCTGCACTTGCATCAAAGAGCTATAGGTACTCTAACATTGCTTATGGACTTGCAGTATTTGAGTCCCTTGTGCCGAATTAGCGAGATTAGTGCAAGGTTTTAACCCTTTCATGCCAGGCTGCTATCTTCTGATATCACATAACACGAAATTCAGCCTACAGAGCCCAATATGACAGCACAGGCATGAAGCAGCAACTTTAGGACTACAAATCCTATGAAACATTGTATTTCAGAGCAAAAATATTTGTACTAAAACACTGTAGGACTAAAGCAAGCAATTGACGATATTGAGTGCATGCCAGTACAAACTGAGCTGGATTATGCTTGGATAAAGAAATAACTTTTTGCAGAGATTGAAGGCTTGTGGCTCAGAAAAACACAAACAAAACAGAACTGGCGCTGTAAAGGGTTGTGCGTGTTTTATATATCATGTTTTCAGACACATCTTTGTAGCTGCCATCCTCAGAGCCGGCGCAGTGTGGCATGGTATGGTGGAGTGGATGCCACAGGATTGAGGAAGAAGAAGACAAGTTGGTTTGTATACCTTGCTTTTCTCTACCCAAAGGAGTCTCAAAGTAGCTTGCGATAACCCCCACAACAGATCCCCTGTGAGGTAGGTGGGGCTGAGAGAGCTCTGAGAGAGCTGTGACTGACACAAGGTCACCCAGATGGCTTCATGGGGAGAAGCGAGGAGACCCAAGTTCAAATGCCCACTCAGCCATGAAGCTAGGGCTGCCAAGTGGGGGTGGGGGGCGAGTAAACCCCCACTTTGGAGGCCCAATTTCCTCTGCCGCAGCGGAATCTGGCGCATCACCAGGAAGTGACGTTATGACACCGGGCATGCTGGGGGCGGGGCCACGACCATCCGAGGGGAAACTCTATGGTTTCACCTCGAATGGTCGTGGCCCCGCCCCCAGCGTGCCCGGCGTCATAATGTCACTTCCTGGTGATGTGCGTGCGGTGCGCCCGTGCTCCGGGATCCACCCGGGAGTCCCCCGCTGCGGAGGTAAGCTATATTTGGCAACCCTACATGAAGCTCATCTTACACCAGTCACCCTCTCTCAGCCTGGCCTATCTCATGGGGTTGTTATGAGAATAAAATGGAGGCAGAATGCCAGAACCTTCCCCCTGAAGCTGCTTTGAGGGAAGAATACGTAGTGTAATAACTAGATTAGCCTGTCGCCACATAAACCCATGTCTGTAATTCAGTTACATCTGAAACGTGCGCCAATGTTCATCAGATAAGCATGACTGTGCAAACTGGCGGTGCACAACTAAGCCACACAATCTGCGTCCATCTGCACTGCATGCTGCAGTATCCTAAAACTGTCATTGTGTTATGAGCACAAAGCTGAAGAAGTTTGTCCTGTATTGTGTGACCATGGAGGAGGCGACATTGCGGATCTGGCCTTTGCAGCAACCATCTCTGCTTTGGTAATGGGGGAGGGGAGGGGACACCTCATCTGCATTCCCTGCACAAGCCAGTAGGTGGCAGATGCTAATGCTGTAAGCACTTTCCCGTTCCATTTGATCTCCCAATGACTCTTCATTTTCAAGATTTGCTTTAAGGTTTACCCTGTCACCTGAGACATTGCTTCAAAGCAGCACTTTGGAACAAAAGCAACTCACATATGGAGCTGTGAGTCATCCCAAAATACCCTCAAGGCAGGAGGTGTCAACATGTGTGTATGTGAGAGCATGCATAGATTTTGAAAAGGCAGTCTGTACTTTGCGAAAAATTGTGGTTATTTATTTCTCCCCAAAGGGGACCCAGAGCAGCTTACATCATTCTCTCCTCACCTCTGTTTTATCCTTACAAGAACCCTGTGAGGTAGGTTAGGCTGAGAGTGTGTGAGTGGCCCAAAGTCACACAGCAAGCTTCCATGGCAGAGTGTTTCCCAGATCTAGAAGTTGCATCATCCATCATTTAGAAACCCCTGAAGCTGCCTTATACTGAATCAGACTCTTTGTCCACGCAGAGTCAGAATTTACTTAGACCAGGGTCTCAAGCAGAGGTCTTTCACATCACCTACTGCCAGATTCTTTAGCTAGAGATGCTGGGGATTGAACCTGGGACCTTCTGCATGCCAAGCAGATGCCCTAGCACTGAGCCACAGCCCCTCCCCAAAGATCCTAGCCAGACACTAGGTACATGCATAGACTTCTATGACCATGCATGAAGGCTGAGAGCAGATTGAGCGGGCATGACCCTATCTCTCCTCTCACCCATTTCCATACTTCTTGACTGGCTGTGCAGGGCTCTGGAATCACTGAGTCAGCCTACTCTTCACAAGAGTCCACAAGAGAAACTGTCGGTACCCAGGCAGGCTTGGGTCCACTTTCTGTAGGTTAAAACACTAGTGATCAGACTTTCTGTTGGGAACATGCATCATTCCAGATGTGGCTTACCATGACACAGCCTCTTCCCTTATAGCCCTGTTCAGATATTACAGTGAGCACACATCCTGCCTGTATGTGCATGCAACTATTTGTGAGAAAGAGACAGTGAGCATTCACTTTAGGAATGAAACCGGAGACCAGTACCCGGGTAAATGTAGGGTTTCAATTACATGTTCAGCTGTACGTGCATTGACTGTAACACGATAATTAATACGCATGAAGAACAATCAAGTATATTTTGTACATGGATTGTACATGTTCCCACTGGAACTTGCGGACAGGGCTTCTATCACATGCGGATATGGCCTAATCTTCTTGCAAGTACAGAGAGATAGGAAAGAGACCCAGTATAGAATAAAAGGGGTGGAGACATATGGGTGAATCATCATGAAACTCCTTACTTGTTTAAACAGGACCCTATTGATCAACAGTCTCTGAAACAACCTCGGGTACTTCATCATGCCCATCTACTCTGATGCTCAGAAGTGGAATATTTTATAGTCATCTGGGCAGTTTGAAGCTGGCGTTGCCATTTTATGAAAGCCAGTGTGGTATTGTGGCTAGAATGCTGAATTAGGTTTGGTGAGACACAGATTCAAATCCCTGCTCACTATGAGTTCACTAGGTAAACTTGTGTTGGAATATACAAGGTCTACAGTGCACCTACTTGAAGATGTTCAGAAGAACAGCCTATAGGGGGGACGGCTGAAGGCTTGCTAGTTAGCATAGCTAGTTTAGGGACTTCCCACAATTTCAAATTATGTCCTTCCTGTCTCCTAATTGGCTCTTTGGGACTTCCTGCTCCAACTGAGCCCAGCCTTCCCCTTTCATTCCTGTCTCTCACAGCAGTTAGTCAGTTAGCTAAGCCTGTCTCCCTCTCCTCTATTCCATCAGAGTTTATTTCTTCTTTAATAAACCAAGTTATTTTTCTTTAAACAGTTGGTGCTTTGTTCCTCTGCATGTTTAAACTGCCAACAGTTTGGGCCAATCGTTCTCTCTCAGCCTAACCTGTCTTATGTGTTGTTTTGGGCATAAAATAGAGGAGGAATCACAGACGCTACCCTGAGCTTCTTGGAGGAACGGCAGAGTGATAAATAAATAACTAAATGCTGAGCGAAGTTGCTATTTCTCACTGTTTATGAGTACCAAAGCACAACCACAATTGCATTTTAAGGAGTATTTTAAATTTGCAGGTACAAATGAGCAGTGCCTTCATAACTGAGTCTTTTCTTATTTTTACTTACACACACACACACACCAGTCTGCTTTGGGATGGCAGTTATTTAAACAAGCAATACCTCAGAGTCCGAGGTTGGAGATAGGAAAATGGTTCTCCTTCTGGAATCTGGTACCTTGAAACAACTACCTCAGAATTTGGACGATCTATGGCTCATCTCTGTGAGGAAGTGGCAGCTTTCCTAAAGTCTGGACACACATGACCCAATCAGTTAAACAAGTACAAAGCCAACAGTCGTGATAGTCTGACCCACAATCAAACAGTCATAAAACTTATAAAGAATGCTGTTTATGTATTGCAATCTAAAGCACTATAACATGATACACAACGCCGTCTCCAGATTACATAACAACGTTTCAAAAAATGAATCTTATTCAGGAGATATTCTGTAGTGTACAAAAATACAATTTTTAGAATATGTACTACACCAATAACAAGAGACAAGAGATAATACAATAATCTTAGTGCTTACTTACATAGTGGTGCCAAAGCTCTCAGTTTCATAAATGTTAGACAACAAGTCTTAAGAATCTGTAACACAGTACTATTACCTTTGTTATGAACACATACAAGATATTTCAAATTACAACTAATCAACCTAGTAGTAACTTACATTAAATTCAGATAGGACGCTGATCTCAATTAACATTCAGGCTCAAAATATGCTGCTATGTTTCTACTGGATCCCGGGCGTTTCTACTGGATTGCTACCAGAGTGCAATTAAAGGGACCTTGCAGATTGCTAACAGGTGGTGGGTAGTAGGAAGCAGTACACTTAAAGAAAACATATTTCCTGAAGAAGATTCATTTTTTGAAACGTTGTTATGTAATCCGGAGACGACGTTGTGTATCATGTTATAGTGCTTTAGATTGCAGTACATAAACAGCATTCTTTATAAGTCTTATGACTGTTTGATTGTGGGTCAGACTATCACAACTGTTGGCTTTATACTTGTTTAACAGCTTTCCTAGAGTAACTTTGGCACTGTGATGTCCATGGATCAAGAGCAGCCTGCACAAATACAGCCCCAAATCTTTCTTGCATTTAGGCCTCTCCACAGCTCCCTGTCCCTCCTGATAGCTGGAGACACAAGCAGCAAAGGCTGTGCTTGCATTGTGAATAGCTGACTCCTTTCTTTCAGGACCTATTTAATCAGACAGCCCCATTCAACCTTGATTTCCTGCCCCCGCCTTGTACTTGCCACTGAATTATTGAAAAGCATTCCTTACAGGAAGCCCTCTCCCAGTATGGGGTTTTGCCACAAACAAAGTGTTGCAAAACTCCCTATTCTAGTTCAAGTATGGGCCCCCAACAACCTCCTGCCAGGACCTTGGCCAAGTGAAACATTCTTTTTTATTCCTCCCCCCCCAAACACCAAGGCCTCGTGATAAGCCAACTCCCAGTGGAGAAATGAGGACTCTTTATTGAGAGTGGGTGGCTGTTTTCTTTCAGAATTTGAAGCATCTGGGAACAAGAAGCCAGTGCAGCAGCGAGAGAGAGGTGTGAGGAAAGGAAGGGACAGTGGAAAGGGAAGGAAAATGTATCTGGAATTCCTGAGGGAGGGAATAGACAAACATGCCAAGCACAGAAATTTCCTGTGCTCGGGAACGTTTCGCCAACACCTGTTTTATTTATTTATTTATTTAGGTATTTATATTTATATCCCACTTGCCTTCTGAACAGGTACCCCAAACAGCTTTTTCATTGTTCTCCCCTCTCTGTTTCATCCTCACAGAGGGGAGCCATCTGGATAGTTTTAAGCTGGTGCTGGGTGACCTTGGGCCAATCCTTCTCTCTCAGCCTAACTTGCCTCATGAGTTATGAAGGAAGAATGACATGGGTAAGGTAGAATAAAGTTCAAGTCCAGTGGCACCTTTTTAAGACCAAGGCACCTTCCGTGCGTGTGCACACGAAAGCTCATACCTTGAATAAAACTTTGTTGGTCTTAAAGTTGCCAGTGGACTCAAACTTTGTTCTGCTGCTTCAGACCAACAGGGCTACCCCACCTAGATATATGTAAGGTAGGTTAGAGGCTGAGAGCGGCTCGCCCAAGGCCACCCAGTAGGGTTGCCAAATCGACTTACCTCGCCGGCAGGGGACTCTGGGGTGGCTCTTAGACTGCGCGCATGCGCGCGGAGCACCCACGCACCACATGCACATCACAGGCAAGTGACGTCATGACGCCGGGCACGCTGGGGGCGAGGCCACAGCCATTTGAGGGGAAAACATAGAGTTTTCCCCTCAAATGGTTGTGG